TGGTCAGCATGGAGGGCGTTTTGGAGTCCCTCCTAGACAGAGGGATGAAATGTAGGACATGTCCTGGGAAAGGATGACGACTGGTCACCCTCTGCAGATCTTTTTGACGGGACGTACTAAAACAATGGACGATGCTTGCCCATAGGGAAACCATACTTGCCCATAGAGAATCATTGGAGAACACTTGCCCATAGGGAATCACGGGAAATATTTGCAATCCCCATGATTCTCTATGGGCAGGTAATGCCCCTGAATCTCTATGGGCAAGTATTCTGCAATGATTCTCAATGGGCAAGTATGGTTTCCCTATGGGCAAGTATTGTCCTTTGTTTTAGTAGGTCCAGTCCAAAACACACTCTACACACATAATCCAGTTTAAGACCACTTTAACTGCCCTGGCTTAATGCTAGAGGATTCTAGTTCTGAGAGCCTTCTCTATCAGAGAGCTCTTGGGCCACAAGAAACTGCAATTCCCAGGATTCCCTACCACTGAGCCAGGGCAGTTAAAGCGCTTTAAAACTGGGTTATTTGTGCAGTGTGTTTTGGACCTCCATCTTCTCCTCGTCTGCAGGAATAATAACCCATTTTGGCACCGCTTTAACTGTCCTGGCTCAGTGCTAGGTAATGCTGGGAATCGCAGTTTATTGTGGCACCAGAGCTGTCTGACAGAGAAGGCTCAATGTCTCACAAAAAGAGTAATAGAAAGGGATCAAAATAAGATCAGGTTGAATTCTCTGCCGCAAGGCGAGGCGGAAACCTGCCAGCCCTGCCTCAAATCAATCTGTACTGGAGCATTTGTAAACATGTCCTTATTTTGCACAAGATAGCATGGCCTAGTGGTTTGAGTGTTGGACCAGGACTCCAGAGACCAGGATTTGATTCCCTGCCTGGCAGCGGAAACCCATTGAGTGACCTTAGGCGAGTCACATGCTCTCAGCCTCAGAGGAAGGCAAGGGCAAACCTCCTCTGAAGAAACCTTGCCAAGAAAACTCCATGATAAATAAGGTCGCCATAGGTTGGACATGACTTGAAGGCCGACAACAACATGCATGGGACAGACTCAGTAGTACTCATATGAGGAGCTCTTGGCTGCCTACCAACAGGAACAAATCCCAGATTTGGATAATAAATAATTTAAAGGAACAAAACAAAGGAGGAAAAGTTGAAGGGGCTGGATATGTTCAGCTTGGTGAAAAGGGTTGTGTGTGTGTGGCATAAACGCACATTTAAACATTTAAAAGGCACAGGTTTGTTCTCTGTTCCCACAGAGGGTAGGCCCAGGTCTAATGGCTTTATGTTACAGGATTGAGTCCATTTTGACTGAATGTTCGAAGTCAAAATGACAGTAAGAGCTGTTTGGCCATGGAACCAATGGCCTAGAGAGGTGCTGGGGTCTCCTTCTCTGCACATCTTCCAAAAGAGGCTGGTCCAAAAGAGGGATACTCTAGCTCAGGGGTTCCCAAACTTTGCTCCTCCAGATGTTTTGAACTTCAGCTCCCAGAATTCCTGACTGTTGGCTTCTGAAGTACAAAACACCTGGAGGACTAGAGTTTGGGCATCACTGCATCCAGCTGGACTTCCTGCGCTGAGCTTGGGGTTGGACTGGATGGCCTGTGGGACCCTTTCCAATTCTATATGATTGTATGGCTGCAACAAAGAACTGAATTTTTATGGTATGTAGAGAGATCTTGTAGCACCTAACTGAAAAAAGTTGGCAGCATGAGCTTTCATAGATTTACCGGTAAGTCTACTTCCTCAGAGGCATTTGGATCTGAATTTTAAGGGTTTATTTTACTGCCTTTATTCCTATCACTTTTCTTTGGGGAGGGTTTTCTATCTGCCCCTAAACATTCTTCCTTAAAACAGAAACAAACCAGATGCAGATCTGCAACTTGTGATTCCACCTGTGTTCCCCTCTATGAATCCTGTGCCATCTTCATCTGATGAAGGAACCAGTGAGCTTTGGAAGCTAGTGTTCTTCCCTCACGCTTTTCTGGTTGGCCTAACAAAGAGTATCATGAATGTGTGTTTTGTTT